GGACTTCGGATCCGAAGATTGCAGGTTCGAGTCCTGTCACGGTCGTTATCAGTGATGTCTGTGTTGATTTTTTTTTTTTCTTAAGCATTTAGTAAACGTTAAAATATTTCTCTGCCAATAGATGTCGGTTCTGAAAATTGCACTTTCGTGTGTGTATGTATAAAATTGTTTATTTTTTTAAAGCTTTCCTTTGAATAACTTTTGACAAATATCGAAAACGATCAAGGTGATCATTACAATAAATGGAAATTGAGACTGTCCGAAAAGAAATAAACCTATATTTATGATTATTAATATCAATACAATTATTTGTTCGCCACATTAGGGCAACATGAAATTTTTTAATGGATAAAATTATTCGTCTACTGCCTTGTCGTATTGACCATGATGGGTCTGGGAAATAAATACAATCATTATATCGAAATGCTTTGCATATTTGAACAGCAAAGTAGCGGTGCTATGTAAATGACTTCGATAAGACAGCCGATCAATCCAGAATTACGAAGAATTGTTATTCATGTATAGTTTCAGTGGCGACAAGGCCGACCATTATATACCCTACACCACTTCGGGTATTCGTTTTGATAATTGGTAATGCCTTCTTTTGAAAGGTCGTTATATGAGTAACGGTATTAAACGAAGTGGTTTTTACTTGTGTTTCAATGAATATTAATTTCATTTTCTACTTAAGGCTTTCGAGCAAACATTCTAATCATTTCATTAGAAATACTTGATCTGAACGTTTTTTCTACTTTTCGGGCATTGATAATAACCGAGGTGAGTATACGAACACGTGTGATCAAAATAATGAAAACTCTACAGTTCATTCAGCAGGCAGCTTGATATTGAACAGTTGGTCAAAGGATTCGTTGACAGCATATTCGGCATAATTTTCAGGTCCTACCCTATGCAAGTACATCACGAAAATTAATCCTTTATAGGGCAGAAAAGTTTAAATTTTAATATATTTTTATGAAAATTAACACATAATAGTAACTTAATATGAAAAATGATATAAAAAGTACCTGAATTTTTGAAACTCTTGGGCACAAACATTCTAACGGAACGAAAGACTTCATTTGCAAAGAGGTCTAATAGTATGTGCCTATAAAAAACAGGGCATATCCAAAATAAGAATTGTGTTAGACAATGCGATGTAGAGTATTTTCAATAGTCCTCCTGACCGGACTATAATGTTTTCACTTATTTAGCCAAGAAGTTGTGTTTTTACTTTGACTAAATCGAAAATGTTGGATAAGTAATACAAAATATATCGCATAATTAAATAATATCAACAAGGTAATAATGGTATGGTCATAGGGAGTTACGAACCGACGTTACCCGAAATTTAAAATTTACGAAATGCCGATCAACTTATAGCATATATTTCTCGATATGGTTTGCCTTTGATTGAATTACATTAGATTTCCTAGATGCGTTTTAAACAACTCCTGAGGGACTTAAGAAAACAACTCTCAGAATCGAGGACTTTCATCCTAAAAAAAAAAAAAATATTAAACTAAAATTTCAACAAGTAACAGTTTATATGATAATTAGGAACTCTAATTATTGCATTTTTAATCATTATAGGGGAGAGGAGATAATATGGTTTTTAAATCAAAATACGTACATGTCGTTGTAATTTTTTAAATATACTTGTTGCTGTGGGGATCTTACAACTAGGGGCGATAACATGTCATTTTTTTAAACATTTATAATTGTTTCGCTAATGATTAATGGATTTTGAATTTTTTTTTTTTTTTTTTTTTTTTTTTTTTTTTAAATTCATAAATTAATATAGCGTATATTTATATAGTCTAATGTACTAATTATTTATATTCAGAGTATATATATGTATGTATATGTATGTATATATTTTCTTTTGTGTGTTAAACATTTTTCTAAAATTGTTTACATTATTTTTGTTTTTTTTTTGTTTTTTAAACTTTGAACAACTATATATAACATATATGTTTTTCAATAAATTTCTCTAAAACATTTCGTTTTGGTTTCATGTTTTTGCTTTGTAAGGTACATTAAATGATATGTATAGATATATATATATATATGTATATATATTGCACTTGTGTACGTATGTATAGTGTACATAAACGTCTTTTAGTATATTAATTTCTAATCGTATAACATTTAATTAATTCTCTAATAAATCTTTCATGACATCTAATGAATCTTGCAATGATTTGGCATAGCTTGAAGCACTCGTTTCACCGCAAGCCAAAAAGGCGGATACGCAGAATACAATCTGATCGGGATGGGGATTATAGGAGCAGCCATAACCCCGTGGCGTTACAGGACCATAACCCATGAAACTATCAGTGCTGCAAGCCACCTAAAAAATACAACAACAAAAAAAACGAAAAAAAGAGCTTTGTTTTTATTATATATCAAACAAAGTATAATTAAACACTTACTCATCTCTTGATTAGGTGCTTGAAATATCGCTCAGTGCATGTTTTCAGAATGGTGCTTTTTTTTTTTTTTTTTTTAGCAATAAAGCTAAGTAGTTTTGATATTAAATACGCACAAAAAAAAAAAAAAAAAAAAGAAAAAGAAAAAGTGCAAGATAGACTGGAAAGAGTGCTTTTTGTGATCGAAAAAAACAAGAAAAACTACATGCGTTGTAGTGCTTATGAAGGTTGGCTTCAGTGAATGAGCGAAGCAATCTAAATGTCTAAAAGTCACCTGGCTAGTTGACAGCAAGAAACATTGCGATATTTTGTATGATTCATCTGTGAAAAGTTCATGCAATTGTCCAGTAACTTCGCGACTAGCTTCTCGCAATCCTAGCAATGGTATATCTATACCATTACCCAAAATATTTTGAACCATAACCTCAGTTTGCCGAGCCACCGCACAACGGAAGAGTTCACGTATTCGATCTTTCTGCTTAAACGCAAAACACATTCATTTTTGTATTGAAACTAAAAAAAAAAAAAAAAAAAAAAAAAAAACAAACAATTTTGTACCTGATTCGATTCAGTGTAATTGGCATCTTTGTTCTGACATAATGCTTTAGCCCATTCTAGAGCTTCGGTGCTAGCACTGCGTATGCAATCCACACGACCCTTGAGGATAAAGTAAAAAAAAAAAAAAAAACGCAAAGTAAATCTTTGAAATATGTGTGTTCGAGATATTTTCAAAAAACTACCAAAAGGAATCGCCGAGTCGATGCACTCTCATAAGTGGTCACTAAATAACCATATAATCTGAGAAAAAAAATTTTTTTTTTAAAGTTATTTCTTTTCGCTTAAAGAGAATTTAAATTATATAATACCTAAAATAGGCCAATTGCAACGATAGTTGTATATAAGCGTCGGGACTAACTTGGCAACCCTTAATGAAATTTTTTCCATAGCCCTTGTATCGGTAAACATGGAAGTCCAAATTACTAATAGCTCTACAGGAAAAGAAAAAAAGAAATCGATGTATTTTGGAAATTCTCTGTCGCTATTAATGAGACAAGTTCATTTTCATACTTATCAACTGAAACGGCAGCTTGAGTGAAACGCATTTGTATATCCATAGTTAAATCCCATTCTAAACGTTCAGGTGGTGGTAAATGATGTTGAGGTACGCCGTTGCCATCCGTGGGATTATCTAAAATTTTCTTATAGATTTTCTCCAATAGTTGAACGACAGCAATTCCCTCGGATGTCGAATGTTCATAGCAGAGGCCCCAAGTTCCGTCGGTGCATACGATGATTTGCATAGTTTTGTCAAACCAACGATTACCGGTATTGTATTCACTGCCACCGCCATGTATCATTTGATGAGCCATATTAGTCTCATCACGTTGACCTGCATAATGTACTGATGGTGTAGCACCGGGAAAATTGCGCGCATTAAAATCTAATGGCAATGGCTCATCTAAGCACAAAACAATTAACGCTGTCTCTAACAGTTCGATATTGCGTTGATTGCGCTCGCTCAATAAAATAGTGGTACGATCCTGCGCCCATTGTGAACGTGGCTCGGCGGTTAGCAAGCCTAGAGGTGGCGGTTTTGTGGATAAACATGGAGCATCACTGAGTATATATAAAATCTGTGATGCCATTTCGCTTTCCGATAATTTGCCGCGATCGCGACCCTTCAAGATCACGCAATACATTTGATTGCGGCAAAAAACAATGACATATTGTTCTTCGCTGACATGCTGCGGCAAGTATTGGGAATCACGTTCTACACCAGGACGTCGGCACGAGCCCAACAAACGATAATATTGAGCCATGCATAATGGTTGATTCTTTTCCCGTGACGTTGCACGCTCTTGCGGAAGTTTACCGCTGCAATGGAATTATTAGTTGCATTAAAGAGCAAAATGAAAGTATATTTGATTTTTTTACCTATCAAGCAACTCTTTATGAAGCATAATACCATCAAGCAATTGTGCTGAAAATCTTGCCACATCGTGTACTGTGGTGAACTGTCGTGGTGGAAAAGCCATTCCTGGATTTGAATTAATTGGCAGAGCTAAACGTACATCCATATACATGTCATTCAACCAATAATAATAAGCCTGGCAAGTGCAAAAAAAAAGCAAAGTAAGAATTGGTTTCCATTAACCTAATACACGCGCCATCCCATTAACTTTCTATTATTCAAATGCTTACTGAAATCTTTTATGTTAATTTGTCATCTATTACTTATCTCATATCGTCTCGTTTTCGAGAATGGAAACGGATTGAAGTTTTTTTTCCTGTTTTCAATGCACGGATAGTAGATGAGTATTTTCTTATTCGTTAATATTTTATGATGAAAATTGATTACAAATATTTGCGATATATATTTCATCAGTGTGAATTACGTATGTCAATTTTTCGAAGACCATCCTATATAAAAATTCTTCCTATCGCAATAAACATATAATTTTTGTTCTTTTATGGACTCTCTATGGGGTGGTGTGTTCAATAGTGCCCGCCAACGTTTTAACTTGTTAAGCGTATGCATGTATGTGTTGTTCATACGGTATATATGAAATCAAATATTGCTCCTCTACTGTTTTATGCCATAATAGAATTATTGTATTTTTTTAACAATATTTCCATTTAAACATTTTAATTTTGTTATTGAAGTGCAAAAAAGTGCAAACACTTGAAGAAATATTTATGATTTAACACATCATCTACTTATATATAATGTAATGTTAGTGAAATAAATTTAAGACGCGGCGATGGTCATAGCATCGAGATGAGTAGTGCATTCAGTGGTATCAGGAGTACCCGTAGTAATCGGAGTAGCCAGTGTTGTGCTGAAAGGGGGAACTGTTCCCGTCGAGGT